AGTTAACAAGATTCTCATGAAGCCATTTACAAGTAAAAATGTAGATAGTATTTCTTTACTCCTTTTTCTCTCATCCATGCTCAATTACTGTATTACTCTTCATCTTCCAAAACCCATCAAGTACTGTAATTTAAAAGTAAACATCAATTACTTAAAGATATGTACCAGTAACAGAGAACCAAGCCTCTAAAGAATGGCCTTTGTAAGATAATCATGACTGTAGCCTCAGCAGTTAGCATGGTGGCTGACATTTGTCATGTGGTTACTGAGGGTTTATTTCCAACATGGGTGGACATATTTTATAATTGTTTGAAACAGCAACATTGTACTGTTAGGATTATGTTTTAAATGATAATCTTAACTAAGTAAAATGGGAAAGGAGCATCCCATACTTGTCACGTAGTTTTGCTTTATCGCATTTATCACCTGTTTTGTCAATAATTATATAGCAAGGTCATAGTAACGAAATACTTGAGGTCCTTGAAAAGAAAATTAAAAGAATGTTCAATTTCTATTTTTACAGTGGTATCTCAGTTCACGAACTCTGTTCTAGAGCTTTGGAAAAGATGGCCACATTCGTGTTTGAATGGGAAAGATGGCCACAGTCATGTTTTCACCCGATGCAGAGCTGCAAACAAAAACAAAATTTTGCCAAACACTTCTGTTTGTGAACCAAACTGCAAACAAAAGTGTTCATGAACTGAGGTACCACTGTATTTTATTGTAGAATCAAGACAGCACTATAAATCCTACCTATAAAATGTAGCTCAGTTCTACCTGTTGTCCCTTTCCACTGAAAGCCACAATGATCACCCTTCAACTATAAGTATACGGGACTCTTCATCCTATTCTCCCATTTTCTGATCATCTCTTTGCTCATTAGTCACAGTACTCTTAAAATGTAAAATGGCTCATTTTACTTATTGGTGAAAATCTTCCAATTCACATTTTTCTTGGGGTAATACAAAAATTCAACTTCCGTGTTTGTTGTTGTTGTTGTTGTTTTTATACTTCATAGAATCTGGTTACTAAGTTTCAAACCTCACTTTCTGCAACTCTCTGCCTTGCTTGGTAAATTCCACTTACATTGGACTCCATTCTTCAAATACGTCAAGCTCATTTCTCTTTTCCTCAGGCCATTTCCTCTACCTTTAATGGACTTCTTCCTACTCCTCACATTTAGTTCTTTTTCTTCCCTGAGAATGAGGCCTAAATATCATCCCAAAGCACATGCATTTCCAACTTTCCCATTCCAGTTACTATACCTCACTGCTTTCATTCGTTGTTCTACAGAATTTTAACAACCATTTTTTTTATATACTTAGCCATAAGGACACACTTGTCCATAAGGACACAAAATATGTCTGCATGCCTTACACATTTTTCTTCACCTAAATTTTATATTCATGAAAAGATAAGGCAAGGGCAAATGTAATATATTTTCAACTTGAGGTCTATTGAAACGAGGTCTATTGAAATCATAAATTTAATAGAATGCTGTAGATGTATAAGCAATTTAATCTTTCTGTATGAGTTTAGATTACTAACAATTTACATTGAGCAAATTCAAACTATTTCAATTATTGAGATATATACATTAATCTCCACTATGTTTATCCTCAAAAAAATATGTTGAATGAAGGGTACAAATAAGAGACTTGCTAGGATTTTGTTGACATATATTGTGACTTACATTCCCAAACCCTTTCTGGACTTAATGAACTACCCCTGTCATTATTTTCGTATATATGAGTATACTCTGAGAGACATGTCAATTCGTTTAAGGTATAATTTTTTTTTGCTAAAGCAGAGTAAACTTTAAATAAATGGATCCCTGGTGGCTACTAACCATTGTAACTGATATACATGGTTAACTTGCACACGAAGCACGACTGTTTTGTATTTACCCAAGAGCCCAATACAAAAATGAAATGTTATATATCTTGAGAAGATAAAATTTGATTTTAAATAAATTACAAATAACTAATACCATTTTAAATATAGGGAAAATTAATGGAATAAGATATTAATACAAACCATGATTTCACTTAGAAGTGATCTAGGAAGAACCATTACTTTCTGATTGATTCAGGGAGGTTTGGGTAGTAGAGTAAAATTGATTTATTTTGATATACAATGCACAGCTTTACAGTCAGTTGGAAGATAAGAGGTCCTTCCTATAGTCACATTACTGTTAGTATCATGTTAAAGAAGTGAGGCAGTTCAATTTTCTTCTCATTGTCATTATTTGACCCTGCCTATGTTATAGAAACAGGAATTAGAAGAAAGGGGTGAAGGGAATTAATCCACTCTTTTTGCCATGGTTTTACATAATTTGGTAAAAGTAGATAATAACATTAAAAATCTGTCAAGGTCCTTAATCAAGGATACATAAAAATGCAATTTTATCCTCCATAAACAAGTTTTAAAAAACATTAGTGAAAATTACTAGGATTATCAAAACTTTCTTTTTGAAAATAATCATGTATTTCATGTGTATAAGAAATTTAACTTATATGTGACATTAATCTTTCCTCCCTGGATATATAATTTTGTAATGTCCCATATTTCAGATGTACAAAAATTGATTTAAGTATTCATGAAATTACAAATTGAAAAATATCCCTAAAATGTTCATAAGGAAAATACTAATAGGATGATATTTAACCATTTGTGTGATGTCTTCAGTATTTAAAACTTAACTACATTTATCAGGCACAATTTCTAATCACTATAATTTAGGTTGTAAGAAGCACTTTATAGTAAGACCCTAACTCAAAAATAATTTTTATAAAGGGTGGAGATATAGCTCAGTGTGAAGGCCTTGGAGGTAGTGCAAACAAAAAACAAACCAAAAGAAAAAAAATAATATAAATAATCATCTGTGACTAATGAAAAAATATGATCATACGTTCTCTACAATTTTGTTTTGAAGAACACAAATAACATACAATTTAACCTTTAGGTATTTTTTTATCGAAGTGTATTCTTAAGCAAAACCTATATTTTCAGTATATTAATACAAATTATAAGTTTTAATAGATAATATCTAACAATCCTATTTAACTGATGGAAAAATTGTGTAATACTCATTCAACATTAACTTAAGCTACTTTAGAAAAATAAACTATATATATATTGGGTATTTATTTTATGTAAAACATTAAATTGCATGAAGTCATGAAAATAGATAAAAACTATCTGAAGAAGTTACAAAATAACATCAGTTGGCTCTTTAATATAAATATCTGAAAAGTCATACTTTAGTATGACATGTTTTGACAGAATGGCACTTGAGCAATGTGGCAATTCACATATATGTTGTATTTATATTAGTAAACCCAGGGCCCATGTGGTTGTTAAAGCTTCAAAGGTACTAAATGTTTAGAAAAATTGTTACATGGGAACAACTGTTAAAAAACTTTTAGCAAACTTGATTCTCAAAGAATACATCCCTTTAGTATCCATAGACAATGATACAAAGCTTAATAATATAAATGTCAGACATTCCAAGTATTAAAAATTGTTTTCTCTCATAATAAAAAAGGTCAAGTAAAAAATTACATTATTTTAAAAACCTTCTTTTCTTTTTGAGGTAAAATAGCTACCTCTTCGATAATTAATACCAAGAGTCCTGGAAAACAAATGAAGGACATGGTATGAAGGTATATGGCACTATAGTTGTCATATTATGGAATGTATTTTCGAAATCATAGGGGTTATGTATGGTTTCCAAATTCACATGCATTTGTGGGTAAAGTCTGTCAGGTGAAAAACAATAATTAGTAAAACATTCCAAAAGTTATTGTATAAATGAGAAGTGAATAATAATTCTGAATTCCATATAAAATATTTATTAGAAAAAATTACATGGTAGTACAAGTTTCCGAAAAATGTCTGTACTGTTTTACTTGCTTCATCTCAGCCTTCTCCCTTTCATATATACACTGTAGTATAGAATCTCAAGTCATCTGACCTCCACTTTTACATCTGCAAATTAATTCAAGACCTTGAAATACATGAATTGTATGTTAATTGGCAACTATGACTGACCACATGTGTTTATATTTAAAGTCTTTGGTAAACTTCACATAACAGGTGATACAGTACATTGGCAGACATCACAGTACAGTGAGAGCATCCAGCCCTTACATGCTGCAAAACTTTTTATGGTTGTTCGTTAGTCTAAAGGGATTTAGAATATGCCAATGATATTTTTGTAGATCTTTAAATACTCATAACAGAAATTCAAAGTGATATGTTTTGTAAAGATTGTTTGACTAGAAGGAAAGAAAATGCTCAAGGATTTTAAGTGTTTTCCACTTCTTGCCCGCACTTTACCCAAGGAACACAAAGCCCTCCAAAATCTGATATTTGTCTGACTTTTTGAATAGGATATGCACAACTTGGAAATTGACACTCAACACATATATACTTCCCTCTCTCAAGAAATAGAAACCACAACACAGATCTATGAGAACTTAGTCCAGTAATAATTTCGAAGGAGTCTATATTCTGTGATTTAGATGGTAGACTGGGTTCGAGGGGTGAGAATGGGCCCAGGAGTCAGAGTTACTGGAGGCACAAGGCTGATAACTGGTCCAGCGTTATTTGGAGAATCCAAATCTTACCCTGTTGTGTGCAACCGCCAATAGGCAGAGTTCTCCATTAAGTCTGTGCCAAGGAGCCTGACCTCCGGCTGAAGCTGCGCACCGTGGGGGTAGGGGATTGGCAGCCCCTAGCCTGTGAAGAGACCCATGTGCTACTAATGCTCATGTACCCATTTAAAGAAATCTGGAAGCATATGGGATTGTAGCCCCGAGGGCCGCCGTCCCGGGAGGTGTAGACAGGGTGCTCTGGTCAGGGAACACACTCGACCCTCTCATAGGACGAGCCCTAGAGAAGCGGACCCTAGACGAAGTTAGCCGTGCAGGCCAATACACCAGCGCTCAAAGCACAATCCTCCTGCTGCCCCTCCCGCTCCTGACCCCGTCCCTTACCTTGGTTGTTGGAGACGTGACTACAGCAGCCTGGCCAAGCTGTCATCAGAGGCAAAAAGAAACTAAATTGCCAAAGAAATTCTCGGACTTCGCAGCCCCCCATGGCTCTCGCTGGCTCTCCTCTCCTCGCTCTATAAAAGAAGTGGCAGTAGAGCGGCCAAGTGTTCTGGGTAGGGTGGGGGTCCTGGTCCACGTTTTCCACGTCTTCCTCTTCCTCCTCTTCCTCCTCCTCCACCCAGCCCGCAGGGGGAGTCCTGGGGAGCCCCCCTGCGCGAGGCCCCGGGAGCGGGGCACGAGGGTCCAGGCTGCCCAGGTGCAGGCACAGCTGCGTCGGAGGCTGACGTTGCCTGCGGCGCCGGGGAGCTCGTGGCGGATGGAGGCGAGGGGAATCGCATTCACCACCGTGTCCTACCCGCACGAGGACTATTCGCTTGGGCCCGGGAGAGCGCGCGCGCAGAAAGAGCTCGGCTGTGGTTTGGGGGCGGGGGAGGACGACTAGCTTCAGGGATGAGGTGGGGGGGTGCCCAGGTGGTTCGCGCCGCGCGAGCGGCCCGAGCGCCTCTCCGGACTGAAGTGGGCTGTGCGGAGCAGACGCCGCGCAGCAGCTGTGGAGAGGCGCGGGGGCCGCGAGAACTTTCCTCCGGCCGCAGCGGGGAGGGCCGGGCGCCTAAGGGTCCGGGCGAGCTTCGCCTGAGCGCTCAGCCCCTCGCCTGAGCGGCGTCTGCAGCCGTGGGCAGGGCGGGGGCCTCCAACTCGGCCGCACGCGCGCCGCGCCCCGGCAGTGCGAGCCGCCTTCCCGGCATCTCCGAGGCCGCACTTAGTCCCTAGAGCACTTAGCCCCCCATTTCGCGGCAGCAACGCCGACCGTTTTAAGACCAGTCAGCTCCTGCCCCTGCCTGGTCCTTACTTCCTCACATTTCCGCCGCTGGAGGGGGTGAGTGTTGTGGGCCACCGCTCCGGGTCACGGGCAGAGCCTGGCGCCAAAGGTGGTCAGCCCGGCCGCTGCTCAGCGTCAGTCACCCAAACTTGCCAGGCAAGGGGAGGCACTCGGCCCCTTGGCCGCCTCCGCTGCCGCGAGTCCTTGGGCAGCGATGAGGGGGAGGAAGCAGCAAAGGGGAGTCACAGGAGACTGGACCCGAGGCACCTGGCACCCGGGCCCTCGGAGGTCTTCGCGTCTCGGTGCGGCGACGACTCCGCCGTGGAGGTCATGAGCATCGTCGCCCCGTGGTGCTGGGATTGGGGGGGTCTTGAGCGCCTCAGACGTGGCGGCGTTGGTCTGTGTGCTCCGACCTGCCCGAAGGCTGAGGTTCACAGCGGCGCCCAGAGCGCGGTGGGCTGAACCTCTCCGCGCGAGACGCCCCTCTCAGTCCCTGCTGTTTCCTGGGCTCCGGTCACTCCAAGCCGCAGCCCAGAGCTCTACGCGTGCTGCTGGAGAGGGGTTCTCAGGGTCTGCAGTCCCCACGCTCTCCTCCACTGCCGAGAGGGCCGGGCTGGAGTAGCGGCTAGCGCAGCGGAGCTCTCCAAGCCTAGCGCTCGCCCGCTTGGCAGCAGCGGCGCGGATGCTGCTACTTCGGCGCTAGAGGGGGTTAGTGGACAACAAAAATCCCTCCACTGCTCGCAGGTGGAAGAGGCTAAACAGGCAAAAAAAAAACAAAAACCAAAAACAGAAGCCAGGATGCTTTAGTGTTTGTTAAGGGCGCGCTTGGAAACGTATCGGAGGGTGTCAACTTTTGTAATCCATACTCTTCGTTATAGTCTCATCACCATTTTATTTCTTGAAGGGGCATGGGCTATCACAGTCGAGTTAGGTCGAAAAACTCACCTCAAAGCTCAGGTTTGAAGAAATGTTGATGCCAATAGGGGAAAAAAAGTGAAGCAAACAGAGAAAGCGGAGGAATTATAAAAGGGAGACGGTATTGTCTAAGTGGGCAGAGGGTACAGAGGGAGATGTCACAGTGGCAGGAGTTGGGAAGCAGTCTGTGGATTTATGGGTCAATTTGACGTCTAAGACAATTCTAAAAATGAACGGACCCTCCTATAATGCATTTCAGCACTGCGATGTTTGTCGCATACCTAAAAGGAGTTTCAGTTAATGTATTACAAACAATTGAAAGGAAAGTAAGGAGGTGAGCAAGAAATGCTCCCCATATAAAATTCCTCAACGTGAAGGGAAATGTGAAATGCAAGTGATTTGGAGAATGTGAAGGTTTCTGATTGGTGATTATATTTTCACACTCATGATGAAAACACACAGCTTATCTTTGATGGGGTCCATTGCAATTTGAATGTAGGCAAATCACTTCTGAAAAGATCACCAACTATGGAGTATGAAATCTATACATGGGTACTTAAAAATGTAAAATCTGATTTTGCTACTTTGTTGTACGACTGCTATTGATATTGACTGACCACATGGGCTTTTGCAGTTAATTTACAGTTTATAAACTTAGGTGTAAAATAAAAATCTATGTTATGACAGTATGCTGTAAATCATTATGTCTAAATATAAATGTTTAATGATTCACTATACTGATGTTTGATTTGAAATATTTTATATACCATCAAAAGAATATATTTCCATGACTTTTTAAATTAAATTTTTATTTTTAAATGTTGATTTTCAACAAATAACTTTGTAGGTTCGTTAACAGCACACCAGAAGAAATGTCCTGTTACACGATGACAGTCCTGATAAATCCTAAACATATATTACTTTCTGATAAACTTAAGGAATGCATAAGACTGGTTAGAGTTGTAAAACGTGTCAAAATATTTCTGAACTTTTCCTCTTCAAATTATTACAAGGAAATTTTAATATAAAATGACCAAAATAATCTCTCACATAAAATATTTTAAAATGAAAACTTAAAGTTTTGTTGTTTAGCTTGAGTATCACGTTTTAAAGAATATAAATACAGAACATTAAGAAACTTCCCTTAAAATTGACTAAAAGGAAATGGTTGTAACAGAAGAAACAGAAGAAAGGAAAAATGAAAAAACTTGTTTATTTCCAGAGCTTATTATTATTTACAAATCAAAGTAATAGTAATAATTTGATGAAACTGAATTTCTCCCTTTCTCTGACTACAATTCTTTACCATTCACTTTGAGTGTGTGTGTGTGTGTGTGTGTGTGTGTGTGTGTAGAGGATCGAACTCAGGACCTTATTCTTGCCAGGCATGTGCTGCGTCATTGAGCTACATCCCTGACTACAATTTTTTTCTTAAATAAGCCGTAATCAAGCTTGTCATATTATGCATTACCTGGTTAGACAATTTCTCATTACATGGTAGGGTTTGAAAAAATAATTACAAGGTTTTTCTCAATATGAGAACACATTTCATATGTTTAAATATGTTTGGATAGTGACTCTTGCATGTCTGAATATAAAGTACTATTTGGTAAAACCTCATCTCTAAAGGTGAATTGCAATATAATTATCATAACTTTGACTATAGCAGATTCTCTGAGTTTGACATACTTTATTTTCAAAACATGATTGCAAGAGGAATTACTGTACTGAGCATTTGTGTGTTTCTGCTCACTAAGATATTTGTTAATCTCTTTTTAGGTAAAAAATTATCTTCCCATGAGGAAGAGTTAGTAGTTAACTACTTTGTATGAATAAGAAGTTTGCTTCATGAAGAATATAATCATGGTTCTCTCATGTGAGCTAGAAGCAACTGCACTTAAAAGAAATGTGCTACTTTTTTTGTTTTCTGCCAGTGTTTATATATTTGCTAATATGAGACAATTTCAAAATTATAAGCCACTCAATGAACCAGATACAATATTCATGTAGATTTATCTGCACTTGTCTGTTTGAATCATACCCATATTTAGAAAAACATTCATGTCTCCTTTGTCAGAGCTATATTGTTCAGAATTGTTTTTGTATTCTCACAGACCATTGCTCTTCACAATATATGTGATCTGGATCCAGGTAATAAATGATTAAAGTTTTTATTAAGTAAAAATAATATGACACTAAAAATGAGTCTGTTTTCATTTACAGTAGAATTAACTGTATTCACAATTCTGTTTGCTTATAAAGTGATGAAAGGAGGAAAGACTAACCCTACAATTAATTTCTTTGAAGAAAGAAAAAAAGGATTATAATGTTTAATACTCAGCATGTCTCAATCCTTGAGAAAACCTCAAGCATATTATTCTGGTAGAAGAGTAAATCCATTTATAGCAGTGATTTGCATTCTCTGAGGTCAAGATAGGAGAAACAAATACAAAGAATATTGATCCTCAGATAAATCAAAACATCAGGTCTTAAAAGATTAAGTTTGTATTTGGAGCAATCAAAATTGTCTAAGTCTTTTTTATTAATATAAAATTTAGAGACGTACTGCGAATTATTTATATATATATATATATATATATATATGTGTATGTATATCGACTTGGGTATGTTTCAGCATAAATTTTAAAAATCCATGAAGTCATATATTGTTAACTTGAGGCTCTTTGCTTTCAGAATATACAAAATTAGGGGAAAACACTCACATTGCTTATTTCAGGAATATATACATATGTTACCTTTTGAAGAAAACATCCAAAATACTGCTAGGTATTTTGTTTTTAGTATATCAACATTTTTAAAAAAACAGAAAATAATGCAGCTTAAAATTGCATAAAAGATAGTATACCTGATTCTGCTGTGATAATTATATATCGTTCCTGTATTATATGATATATTAGAGTAAAATATATATAATATACCTATCATTTATAATACATTTGTATGTAATTAAATCTAAACGTTCTCTTCAGTACTTTTCTAATTCAATAACTATTTAACAAACAGGATTTTCATATGCACTATGCCAAGCACTATTCAGAAATGACAAAGATTATTTAGATTTAGTTCTGATGTCTCAGAAGTTTTATTATATTGCAGAACACAGACACATGGGTTATTCCAATAGAAATCATTTAGTATGATGCCACAGTAGAGTTCCAAATTATTATAGTTAGATAAGAGGAAAGGAATCAGTCTCTTTCCTTCTAAGGCTTGAATCTCTACAGTTACTGCTTTTGAGGTAAACATACTTTTGTCGTGGACTGGAGAAGCTATCCTCTGAAGGCTTATTTATGAACTTTTATAAACATTAAATATTTTCTATAGGCTATGCACCATGGCCAAATAGTTCAGCTAGATTGAACTAACTTGTAGTTTTAGTGAAATTGACTTACAGTCTATGGGCATATACATACACCCGCATCCTCAAAAAATAATTTACCTACATAATACAGGATACTTTAGAAATATTTAAATTTATTTCAGTCTTATGAGTAACATGTTATTTAGTATCTCACACACCAGAATGGCCAGCTGTGTCAAATAACTTTATTTTTTTGAATAATAAAAAATATCATTAAAGAGCGTTTTCTAAATATCAGTCAAGCATTTTCTAAATATCAAAGACAAAGGAAACCTTTAAAGTCTGATTATTTCTGTCATAACAAATATCACATGAGTATTGCTATTAATTTCTATTCAAGTGTTTAAAATAGAAACCTAATCAAAATATACCTTGTATTATATCTTGTATTTTTCTACATTAAAATACTTTATAACTTGTTTCAGGAAAAGACAAAGTTAGATTTTCCAGAAACACCTTGGTTTGTCAAATACTTGAATGTTAAATTTATTAGCAATATTATGTATTTGAATAAAATTATCATCTAAATGTTCTGGATATTTTTATACTAATAATGCAAAGTATTCCCTTTTACTGCACTAAAACTTGTGTAGTTTAAACATGTTACACGAAGAGAAGTGATTCCTGAATGGTTTGATAAACTGGACTTTTGGAGTAAAATTCCTTCCTAAAATATTTCTTACGATGTTTCAGTTTACTTTACAGCAAGACCCTGTTGTATTTTTGCTCTCACTTCTGTATTCTTCACATATTAAATTTAAAAATGAAACAATAAAGTTTGAGAGCCACTTTTTTATAAAGTGAACTATGAAAATACCATAAATATTTGATATGTCCAATATCTGCTCTTTAAATGAGGAGTTTTGTATCATTTTACTCACATTGTGTTTAGTTTCCTATGACTATTAAAAGGATTCTAGATACAGTATTTCTTAGACAACTAAAAATTTTGTGGAACTCACTTATACCAATCATTTGACAATTAGCATAAGATTGCTCATATTCTTGCCTAACTGTGAAACACATATCCAATTAAATTTATAAAGTATTCAAAAGGGGACTGCTTCTTTTACATCTCTAAAAATATTTACTAAATAATTATTTTTTAAAAAGTTATATTTAATGTTTTGGTCAAATTTATCATCTCTATAAATCTTTTTCATGAAGAATAATAATTCAGTACTTGCATATTTCAAAAGCAAAAGTATGTAATTGCCTGTTTGTCAATCATTAAATACTTCCATTAATAACATTTGAAGGAATATAAATTTAGAAAATAATATATATGAATAATATATGTTGCATACATATTATTCCTAAGCTGAGTTTTTATGAAATTTGTCTTTGACTGCTCAGGGAACTACAGCCTAATATAAAGTTAATATGAAGCTCCCTTAGAAGAGTTTTAAAAGTGTACTGACGTTTATAGTATTTGGAGTTAAGTTGTGATATCATTTCTATTTTTATAATTGAGAGTAAAATTTTCTGAATGCAAAAAAACGTAATTACTTGGTTAATTTAGACTGCTATTAATTTATAGTCAATGACTATTCTATATTTATTTGATCCTAAACTATTCTATATTATGCCTTCAAAGATATAAAAAATAAGAAATATATATATATATGCTTATTTTTTAATGTTTCTACCCAATTCTGAATTATAGGAATGTTTCCTATTCATTGAGAATATGTTCAATATTCAAACAAATATCACTGTCTATAGAATTTATCTCAAATGCTATATATAAAATTGGTCTATAGCATTTTCTATAATGTTAGAGACATATCTGTAGCTCTGCTCTGACATTATAACCACTAACTTCATGCATCTTGTAAACATCTGAATGTTTGTAGTGTGACTGAGAAGCTGTTTTTAGTTTTAGATCTCTTTTTAAAATTTTAAGTGATGAATCCATGTTTGACAGTAGCAACTGCATTGTATTGTACATATCAGCATTTTTCAATACTTCTGCATTGATAGTGGGAAAAATTACAAAAGTCTTTTAAAACTACTAAGAATGACTTCCAGTCCTAGTTCTTTGAAGTATCTCCACACTGATTTCCACAGTGCTTGCACCAGTCTACACTCCCACCAGCAGTGGAG